GTATGTAATGGGATGTTTTCGCAAAAAGACATGATAATGAATATTAGAGAATTTCTATGAAGAGCCAATATATTCTCATCCACTATACAATAATTAGAAGAGTCTAGAGTTCTGAGGGACACTACCAAAGAAGCCAATGGACTTCCTCATTCCAGGCTCTGTCAACTGACAAGCTGATTACCTGTCATCTTATGGTCCTCTGACACCATTTTCCCATATCAATCCCAGCACCAGGTCTGCACTCTGACAGGACCTGTTTCTGGTACAGCGGTGTAAGTACTATCCTATAACCTGTCGAGATATTCAGTCCAGTTTAGAATTTGGAACACTAACTACATTTAGTTAAGACAACTTGTACGTGATATCAGAATACCGGTAGCAACTACTCGAGTACCATACAGGTGACCACAGCAGATTAAGTTTAGCCAGAACCTATGGTACCCGCCATACGATGGAATTCTACAAAACAGTCCTGGCACAAGGGATAATTACACTCCCGAAAACCAAAACTAATTGACCTTATCTTAACTCCTTTATCTGCTTGATTTTTCCACCGGCACCAGAGACACCGACTTCAGGTAGGACGTTGCTCATAAAAATGTAAACTGGGTGGAGGAAACAGAATGGGCTGAGGTGGAGGTCTATTTCGGCTAGTGTAAGGGGTAGGCCTTTCACTGTTAGCCAGAGATGTTGGGGGTGTAGTTGGCCGTGTAGATGAATGGCGTGTTGGATTCGAGCTAGAACCATTCGTATATCCACCTTCGTATAATCCAATCTTGATTAACTTGTCCGCTAGGTCTTCCCAGAAGAATAAGTGCTGGCTTTGTACTTTCCGGTTGGGGTGTAGGGTTCTCATAATCCTGTAGGAGTTGACAATGGAAGTGTCAAGTAGCCAAAAAAAAAGAGGGAGCCAATTTCGGCAGGCCCTCAATTGAGTAGAGTAGTAGCTTCGTAGTTGATCAGCAATGTCCACCCCACCCATATGCTGATTGTAGTCATCGATAAATACTGGTATTGGAAGTAGCTTGCGTGAATTGTCACCAAATATTTGGCGAATAGTGGTACCATTTGTGCTGGTTTTCTTGGGACGGCGTTGGAGATGGTTTACAGTAGCGGATATTTCATGATAGCTAGTCATGAAAAGAACAGAATTGTTATCCTGCCAAACCAAGCAGCAGGTATTTGCTACAACAGTGCCACTAAGGTGACCCCATGGTAAGCTCTTTTTTGCCTCAGCCTTTTCAATTTTCAGGCAAGGTGGGAAGCCATGAGCATTTACCCGTGTCGTTCCAGCAGCTCCTATACCTAGTTTGCGCAACTCTTCGAACAGTGGGACACTGGTATAGTAGTTGTCAAGAACCAGATTCCAACAGTGCTCTGCTGGCAGCAGCTTGGCCAGTTGGTAGACAGCAGAAGCAGTAGGTGTTAAATGATCCAATTTAACAAGATTTACAGTGCCATGCACTATCGAGTACGACAAAAAGGCATAGGTATAGCCACGAGAGTACAATGCAAAGACCTTGTAGCCTTGCTTGATTGGCTTATTGTCACGAACATGGCTTAGCGAGGAAAAGGGTTTTCACGTAATGCATAGTTATGAGTCACAGGTATGTTATTGTTTCGCACATATGACCTATTCGGGTTATATGATTTGTTATGTGTGGGATTTGAGATGCTTTCGCACATGGCTCAAGTATGAGTCATGAGACATGCGCCTGATGAGTATGCCTTGCGAGTATGCCTTACGGGTAAGCCTTGCGCCTATGATTGATGTTTCACACATGACCTCATTATGAGGTCATGGGTTTTGTGCATATGACTCAGTCGGATCATATGACTAGTTGTTATGATTTGGTTTCACACATGTGACCACTTTAGGTCACATGATTAAAAGCAGGAAGAACACTATATAAGAAGGCCGATGTGGCCGAGGAAGATAGGTTCTTCATGCTTTGTTCTAAGTACTTTTCCTACTTATTACTTTAACGAATATAAAACACCTTTACCATCATTATCTTTATTGCAACATTATCGTTACGCCAAGGAAGGCACTTTACGAAGAAGAGTTAGAGAAAGCTTACGATAGGCGTTCCTGGTAGAAGACTAGGGTCTTGTACTATCGGTAACGTAGGCAGAGGCCTAAAGCTATCGTAAGACAAAGGAGGAAGAAGACAGGAAGAGAAGTATCGTTCCCTGTCGCCAAGCACTAACTATCCAGAGAGGGATCGTTACACTTATTTTTCATTTTAACAGTATGTGCACTCCGACCGCAAAATCGAATCATCATCTCATCTATCGCTACCTTAGTACTTGGGACATAAAACTGCCGAAAGCGCTCTTGCAGTTGACTAGCTAAAGGCTCTAACTTGTAGTATCAGAGCTTAGCCGTAAGCTCTATTCTTGGATCTGCGACTTGAAAATATTGTTTGATTTGTTGAAATCGAGTAAGTGACATACAACTTTTAGGAATTCAGTAACTTGAGGGGGGAAACTGCCATCGATTTTGCTGATTCACCAATGATTGTTGGACTCGGACCCAGGTTGGCTTTTTGGATATCTGGCGCCAGCTTGCTTGTGCCTGTTTATTCCAGTGCAAAGGGAGAGCTGATTCCCAGTGAAGTCCCATCTTGATGATTAGACCAAACCATACTTTCAATTCTGCCGCAGTTGTCTCCCTCCAGCTCCGTTGTTTTATTCCTATTCCCAGCCGCTTGGAAATAGACCTCCGAGTCTCTTGCCACATACCTCTCCCATTCGCTACTATTTCTCGTTTTAAAGAGGCATATAGATTGGTATTGACTGCAAGTTCTTCAAATGTCTCAGTTGTGAAAAATATCGAAAACAAGGAGAACAGATCATTTCCACATCCTTCGGGCAGATTAACCTATACAAGCTCTCACATTTTAGAATTCACAGTATAATCTTTTCATGTTAGAAAACGGAACTCCCCTGCCTTCGCTGAATGTTCTGGATAGGGCGAGTGGAAGGGTTCAAACTGAGGCACACCCGGCAGAGTTCCTGCCCCAACCCTTTTTCTTACACCTATCGTTTTCCCATCTGATGCCTGCCCTCCTGGCCCACTACTGAGAGCACTACCAAGCCTCCCAGGCAAGCTCCCCTCCCTGGGCATCACAGGTACGGAGACTTCTTCTTCGGAATAAGACTTTGACTGGCATCGCTGCCGTTTGGGTGGACTACTAGTATTAGGTTCGGGAATATATGTGGATTGACTAGCATTTCCTGACACTTCTGCAAAGGCTTTTCTTTTTCGTGGCATCGTAGCTTTGACTGCCAGACACGAGAGTAAATAGTTCTTGAGTGGTGTTGTTACCGTGAGGTTGAGAACTCTCGCCGCACTTAACCAAATGCAGTTAGGGTTCCAAATTCTAAACTGGACTGAATGTCTCGACAGGTTATGGGATATGATATGATAGCACGGACTGGCTACGGGGCCGGTGTGCTCACGAGTCTGTTCCAATCCCTTTGTTCATTCCCGAATTTTCACGCACTTTTTGAGTCTTGCCCCGATAGGATGACCGGCAAGCCAGACAACAAACACACCGAGATAAATCAAAACCGGCGGAAGTATGACACCGTACCGTACAAAATTGCATAAGAATATCTCGCTTTGATTGAAAAAAACTTGGCGAAAAAGTGAAGATAATAATTATGCGGTACGATCTTGGCGCGAAAATTGGTGAGCAGATAATTATTGCATTTTGCGTTTTTGCGAAAAGATCCAAAAAGGAAAAAAGTGATTTTATTTTTATGGCTTGGACTATGAATACACGCAACTCGCACAGAAACACCACACGGATTAATCAACCAAAGTAGAATCACGGACTTTTACAATTACAATTATATACTTGGGGGAATTTTTTTATTTTTATTTTTTGGATGATTTTTGTCAGTCATCTGAGCGTCGATATGTATAAATAAGCAAAACGCTCTTGTTTCGTGATATGTGGCGAAATATCGTACCATGGCATCTTTTTTTTGCCGATATTTTTTGATTCTCAAAATCTATCGATAGAGCTTGTACAGTACTCGTACAGTACTTTCTTTCTTCCTTTCCAATCACCACCCCTTTTTTTATAACAGAACAAAAAAACAAAATCCCATATAATTACAAAGGATTTGGGGAATTCTTATTTTTATTTTTATTTTTTATTTTTTAAAAATTTAATAATAATAAAATAAAAATAAAAATAAAATCAATGTGATCGGGTCGGGTGCACAGTATCATACTTGTACTATACTCGAGTAAAGCTGCCCCATTTCTAGTTGCAAACTGCCAAAACCGCTCGCCAAACTTTTGCGCCAAGATGGTACAGTACCGTGAGAGGGCTCTACTCTGCCCGGGTGTTGAGGTAAATTTAGAAAAGGGCGGGGGGGGGAAGAAAAAGCTGAGCAGTAGGACGAGTGGAGAGGGAGGGATACGAGCGAGCGCCGATCAATTAGTGTGGGTGGGGAGTTGTTACGGGACTCCATCGAACAGAGCGGTCGCACCTGGCACTGCCAAGTGATCGTTAATGATTTTGAATTCGCGGGATTTTTATCGGAATCGTGAAGAGACCGGATTAGGGCCGAGGGAGAGAGGGAGGAGGAGAATCGGGCTCTTGGGGGTTGGAACTGCCCCGTTGGTGTTATACTTGTATGTGTTTTTGAAATGCAACAGTGCTCGATAAACTCCGGATTTCTGGTGTCCGCCAAGACGGGAATTTTTCCAACTGGCGCAACTTGTTTTTGTCCCCTCCCTTGTCTGCCGTGCCCGGGTGCTTGGGTGCTTGTATTATGAATCGTGGGCATGGTGGTGAGAATGGGAGTGCCCGAGCATGGAAATTGGGAAGCATATCGTTGCGACTGCGGCTGGGGGGGTTAACTCACTGGTCGTGTGGATAAGCGTCGGATTAACTTTAGGCTTAACTTTGTGGGCTGATTGGGGGTATTCAGTAATCATAATGCTCGGGTATTCGTTCGGTAAGCTGATGGGTCTTTGGTGGCACTGACGACAGTTTGATTGATAGATAGTAGCTCTAAGATAAGAGTATGAAATTGTGATAACTGAACTGAACCTTTGCTCCCCACCTCCATCTCCACTCTTCCCGCGCAGATCGTAACTTCGTTAACCCACCTCACCTCTTGACTTAGCAGCCTCGCCGCGCTCACACATCATGGATACGTTAAGCGATGTATCGGGGAAGGTCTACGCCTCACCACGAGCAGAGTCCGAAGCCCCCTGGTTGCCGAGGGCGGACTCCTTCGCGTACTCTTCATACATACTCCCATCCACACTGATCCGCACGACACCACCCTTCCCCAAGGCCAAAATCCTCTCATCGATCAACCTGGCCAACTTCCTCCTCTGGTCCTTCTTGAGCGCCTGAGCGGCGAATATTATCTGGGCGATGTACAAAATTCTGTAGTACCCCCACTCCCTCCGTATTAGCCCCTGCGCGCTTGGGGGGGGAGAAAAGGGTGAGGAGAGGAAGGACTTACACAATCAGCCAACTAACGCCAAACCTCCCCTTCGGCAACGGGCACTTGACGTCGAACCCTTCGGAGAACGGATAGAACTGCGTGTCACCAATGCTGCATCCGTATAGGCCCATGTAGTAGTCGTAGTAGGCCCCGTTGTTTATGTACACCACCTCCACCAGCTCCCATGACGTCTGGACTAGCCAGAAGGTGAAGATGATACTGTACAGGCTGACGGCGTAGACAGGGTTCAGGTGGGACCTTTTGAGGAGGAAGATGTCGGCTAGCGAGTGGATGAGGGTGATGAGGGAGAGGGAGAGGGTTGTCGCACTATTAGGGGGTGATAATTCATTGTTAGTGGGGGGTATGATAGAAGGAAGAAAGGAAGGAAGGGAAGGGAAGGGGGTTATCATACGCGAGAATGTTTACCGTAAGAGTTGTTTCTGCTATGGCTATTCCCGCGGTTGCGGTCGAGGAGATGGCTAGGCAGATGGAGGTTAACAGGATGTGAAAGCCGGCCCAGCGAGTGTCTGATGTTTTTGCCAGCATTTTGATCAGGGTTTTTTTTTTTAACTCGTGGATCCGTATCGTATCGTTATAATTAGGTGCAGTCGTAATCGTGAGGAGAGTTTGGAACTTTTATTTTTATTTTTATTTTTTACCTTCGCAGTGCGAACCAGGAGATGGGCGTGATGGTGGGCGAGCGTGCGGGGGAGAGAGGAATGAAGAGGATGGAAGAAGGAAAAGGCTATCGGTACTTGTACTCGAGTACTTATGAATTGGAGGGAGGGGTGTGTTGCCAACCAGTTGTCTCCACAAACTTGATTCGGCGGTGGCTTTCCTGCTTTTGCTACTGGCAGAATGTGATGGTGCACATGTTCCAAGGCTCATGGCTGAGGTGGGACAAATCGCGATGTTGGTGATGATGCCGCTTTTAGAATAGTGTACCAGTTTCATAACCCGTGTGGTTGCTTCGCTTTGTTCGTGTCGTGTGGTGGGCTGCGGCTGATGTCTTAATTTACCTGCGGCTAGGTGCTTGGACATTGTACTCGTACTTGTATGTAAGGCTGTGAATAACTTGGCGGGGAAGATGGTGGTTTTTAACCTTGCGGGGCACTGACTGATAAGACATTTGGCTTCGGGATACTGTTTCTACTCGGGATCTCCTACTCTACGGGTACTGCACTTGTACTGTACAAGTGCTGTGTGATATGGGGCTTTGGTTGCTGCGGCGTGATGCCTCACTTGTACATACCGGTATCATATGGGGATTATCTCAACCATGTTGATGGGACTCGGAATGTTAACATCAGCCAAAAACCACCCGCAACCTACTCGAGTGACACCGGGGGGGATATAACCTTTCCCCCGAGCCTTTTCAAAATTCTCGTGTAGAGAGCGCTTAAACGAGTTCTCGATGAGCAGCGCAGGATATCACCACACTTTTGTTCGCAGCGAGAAAGGTTCTGAATCGGTAACTGCTGTTGATCCGCCGGGTAGATGCATGAAACCAGCAAAGGCTGAAAAAAAAAAAAGAGAAAAAGAGAGAGAGAGAGAATTGCCCCGCCCCCACCTCCCAAATAAATATGCTGTATTCTGCCAGAAGTTACAAATAATGAGAGGAAGAAGGGAAGAAATAAAAAAGCCTTCACGTTATCATACGCCACGGTTAGCAGTACGAGATTGAAGGTGAAATCCTCTCGCTAGCGAGTGATCACTTATGAATAACGGTGTCCAACCGTAACCCTTTCTCCACCCAAGAATCCGTTCGCCATAAATGGAAGGAAATAAAAAAAACAAATTGAAAGAAGGAAACCGAAAGTCGTAAAGTCATCAAAAGGACAAAAAGAAGCAGCTTTGGATCTGTTGCTTACGGGAAGATGTAGCTCTTAGCAGACTCAACCTGGGTCTTCTCGACATCCGCCGTTGCCCCCTCCGGATTAACCTTAACGTACTTGGGGCTGGGTACGCCGGTGTACAGTTGATGCGTCAGATGTGGGAGCATTTGCGCTCCACACTGGGGACAACCCAAAATAGGTGGCGCAATCGTCTGCAGTGCCAAAACCGCTTGGTCCACCTGTCGTTGGAAGGTATCCCTCTTCTCCTGCTTTAATGCCCTCGCCGAGAAAACGATCGACGCGACGTACAAAAACCTGGTTTGTCAATGATTAGTGGTCGGCTAGCCTCGGGCGACTCGGGACGTTGCATACACCAGAATCCAAGAGAATGAGAACCTGGCCTTGGGCAGAGGGCAAGACCAGCCAGAGGGCGTGCCCTGAGAGTATTGAACATCCGCAATGCTGCATCGGTAGGTGCCGTCGGAGAATACGGAGTGTTGGTCGTATCCCATGATCACCATCTCGACAATTTCCCAGATGGAGAAGGATAGCCAGAAGAAGAACATGATGCTGGACATGGCCACGACATAGACTGGTTTGAGCTTTGAGTTGAGGAAGAGGGATAGGTCAACTACTGAGTGTACGAGCGTTATGAACCCGAGAATGGTGCCCGCAATACTAGGAGGAGGGGGAGGGATTAGTCTTCACTGCTAGATGGGAGGAGGGGGGGAGGTACGCATTCAAGTTTATGGTTGCGACGATTTCAACAGTGCATACCGAGATGGCTGCTATTACGAATACGAATAGCATCAATGTGACTGTGACGATGCTTTGTCCTTTCCAGCGGCCATCACCGTGGAGACCGGGGCGGATGGTGGGCATTCTGAAAGATTTCGTCGGGGCAGGGTTGGGAAAAACCGGAAAGGATTTGCTATTGTAAATGTTTGAGTGGGGGGTGGATGGAAGGTTCTTATACAGCTATCGCCCATATCGAGTTGAACCGGGTTTGGTAGACATGATTAGACGGTGTTAATATTTTACACTTGATATGTGGGACTAGGAGCACAGCCTACTTGTAATGATAGGGTCACCTTGTAATGCTCTCCTTATTGGCTACCGGGGTTTGCATACCTTGCTGTGGAACTGGGGGGGGGGTGTCTCGTGCGCTCACAGTAAATCCGGCATTCTAATTAACCTTAATTCAAGTATAAGCAAGTTAGGGGTTCCCTCTAGTCGAGAAGGGTCTTAACTGTGAGGATTCTGCCGTTTTAGCTTTACTAAATTCTTCTTGGGTGCTATGATACCAGGGTCTTCCGCGGCGCCAGGGGATTTTTCCTGGTACTTGGATCACTCACTATCGGAAGTGGTCTAAATTTAGCTTGGTTATTCTGTAATGGACTCTGGAACAACCTATAAACACTTACCTGATCGTCCTCGGACTTCTAACGCGCCCACGAATAAAATACCGTACCCTATGTGTGCATCAGTAGGGGTCCAAAAACCATTACCCCACGTAGCCACCCCGACATTGAAATTGCTATTATTAGGTTGTTCGTGGATGGTGCAGAAATCCTTCAGCCCAACCAAGGAAAATCGAGATCGAAACATGTTCTGCCCTCCTCGGGTCTATCAAAGCCTTCTTTGGATTGCCCTCTGAGCCTCTTCCTGGGAAAACTTTTATTTCTCTATTATACAAGTGATTGGTTATGAATTTTTTTAGTAATAAGGGAATTCAATTTTGACTGTGCCGGCATTCCTTGTTAGTATGATACGGGAGTGAATTAGCAAGTAGCGAACAGTTGGTGCCGGGTACAGTAAGTCTTCCTGCTATCATACTCTTTGTCGAGGTTGGACTTGCGAGTCACCTGGGTCGGCTATACGAGCACCGGTGCCCTATGGGATGAAACCTGCCTGGGAACCCTTGTTCTGCGGGTTTCGCACTTAAGAGGTTTGAGAAGAGGTGGGTGGTTTGGGATTCCGCTAAGTATCTAAAGCCATTTCGTGTCAAAGCATGACGCCTCCGGCTGGGTTCAAAAACGTCCAGGAGGGGAAGCGCGAGGGTGTAGAATGTCAATCTAGCTGTAAGGGCCAAGGTAGGGAGATATTATGGACAAGCGAGTAGGACCACGTAGCCTCTCGTAATGGTAGAGCATGAGAGGGTAGTGTGCATTGAAGGTTATGGACCTCATTCTTTGTGTGAAGTAGTGCCCTTTTCTTGGTGCTCCCTCACGGCAATAAAAGCCATATTGCTCCTGTTACCTTTAGTTTCAACCCCCCCCCCGGGTTTCTCGGGGAGGTAGTCTATCAGGCTTATGAGTTAAATTAGTCGTGGAAACATGGCGACTGGTGAGGAGTAGGAGTTAGGATACTTCCATGACTGGTTGGGATCGGTCAGCGGTCTACTTGAGCTTTAAAACTATCATCAAAAATATATAGGGAAAGTTATAGGGGCTCTTGGTGAGGTTTTTCTTAGACTTAGTCTTACAGAGCTGGCCCCTAGGCCGGATAAGGTCGTGATGATTCCCTTGTTGGCGGGCGGATTTTCGCTATGGTCTTGTTTTGCCAAGAGGGGGAGGGGTATAATAGGAAAATCCACTCCCGCCCTGATTGCCACTGAGAATCCTGGGCAGTGTAAATAAATGGAGCCTATCATATCTGATGTGCCACACCAATCTTTAAACTACTCGTGCTCTTATCTACGTCTGATTACTACCTCAGCCTTCCTAAATCATAACTTTTGCTAGCCTTTTATAGAGGACGCCGTTAAAGTCCTCAAGGACTCTCGTTCCCTTCGGATTTTAGAATGAAACCTGCGGGTAAACGCGCTGTGGTAACCTATGTCTCGATTTTTTTTATATCTACAATTTTCTTCTCTGAAGATCCCCCCTCAGCTACAGGTAGCAATCGATCAATGCCCCAGTACCCGTGAGTCCAACCCGTCCAATAGAAATATCCATGACATCATAAGGAAATCAATACATTAATGCGTTGAAATCACCAGTCGTTCCGCATTAAACAAACTCTTTCTCCAGATTCCCCTTTGGATAGTCCTGGTCCAAGCCAGTCTTTGGCATCTCTCCGTCTTGCTCTTGTACGATAGCCCTTATCACTCTATTAGAGTATTCAATTGTCGGCAAATTGGCAGCCGGCGCTTCCACCCTATCGTGTCTTTGCGCCTTTGGGCGGCGGGGCATCTTTGCAGACCTCTTCTCCTCCTTTGCGACGTAGACACTAGCAGCAATATACAAAAATCTAATAAGTGCATCCAACCCCACCACGTCAATAATTTCCTCATAGCATATCTTATGTTTATTGAGAGAGGAAGTAAAAAGGAAACAAAAAAAAGGGACATGACTTACACCATAATCCAAGAAACCGAGAACCTGACAATGGGTAACGTGCAGCGAGTGACATAGGGCTCTCCCGAGTGCCAGTCGAAGGTCATATCCCTCACATTGCACCCAGCCGAATTGTTGAAGGGAGATTTCGTGCGGAAGGAACCCTCTGGCTTATTCAGGTCTCGCACCTCGACGAGTTCTACCCCGGAGATGCTTATCCAGCAAACTATGAGGATGCCGTATAAGATGGCTATATATATTTTATTTAGCGACGAGCAGGTCAGGATGAGGATGTCGAGTGTTAGGTGGAGGGCTCCGATAAGTGATAGAGAGAGGGCTATGATGCTTTTCTAAGAGTAGTGGTAAGTAGGGAGGTGGTAGGAGTTGTGGGATGGGGAAAAAGTACGCTAGAGGACTCATTGCCCTGACGGTTTCCGCACTTGCGGCCCCAATCATCACCAATACGCACACGAGGAGCATAGTCAATACACGAATTGTGTTGCGCTTCGTCCAGTGCTTCTCGTTTTTCGAAAAGTATCCCATTTGGCTCACTTCGTCCGGCGGATTTTATCGATAAAGTAGTGATTTTTGGTGATGGAAGTTGATGATAAGAAAGTGGGGCTTCCTGATAAATTCAGATAAAAGATGAATGAAAGAGGGGGTAAGAAGCGAGGTGGGAGGGTTTCCAGGGCGGCGGTGGAAAGAGGGACAAGAGGCCTTATATCAGTTTATTATTTGGACAACACGGTAACCGCCGCCCTGAGTGGGGGCTTGATTCGATCTCTTTTTTGCACTTGAACATGGGGTGTCGGGCTGCAGATGTATAAGTACTGAAAGGCATCACGGCACGCTTGCTTTTTTATTTCTTGATTCTTTTCCGCCAGTGAGTGGCTGTGTCTCAGATTGCTGGCATAGAGCGCTGTGTACCGTACTTGTGTCTGTTAAATAGAGAACGATAGGGTATTCATATTGAGCCTAATCTGCCATGTGAGTGGGTTATCGTGAATTGCGTTTGGATTGAAGGGACATCATAGGTGAGCGCCTCGCTGCGCTTTTGAGAAATGGACCCGTTTTTGTTTGTATGACGGGTATTTGTATGGTAGTTAAGAGGGGGTTCAGTTCAGTTTTTTTTTCTTTTTTCCCCTAGTTATGAGGAGGTATCATAAATATTTTCACAAGTTTTAGTTTGGATAACACATGTTGATGCTGTGTAATGGTTGGTGTTATAGCTGAGGCTGGGAGGGAATGCATGGGAATTTTGGATCGGAATCAAAGGTGTGTAGTTTCTGAGATAGTGTTTTTATCGCAAGGGAGTTTGAAGAGTGTGGATGAGCTTTGTGCAAGTTCTTATACGCTGGAAGTAAGGAGACCCCTTGAGGTTCACTTGATGGTAGAGCATCTGTTCTCTCTATTTAACCTTACCCTGCGATCTGTTATCGAGATCAAGGAATCGGTAGGGTACTAAGTTAGGTGGAAAACTAATTTCATCTCGGCGGCAGGGCGCCTGCGTCCCTCCCTCCACGCAACCCTCCCGAAGCTATTCACCGTAGCAAATTCCAATTAAGACAGGAAAGTTATGGCACCACAAACAACTCTCCTAAATCTCACTGAAAGGTCGAAGGATAGCTCCCTGTTAAGGTGCACTGTATCATTATCGGGGATTACCTTCTGTAAAGCAGTCAGTTTCCCCGAGACTCATAAGCGGCCGGATAGGAATGAATAAGCTTGCCGGTGTCGATTGTGTTACAGAATGTGCTCTTGTATGGGATGAGGTGTGGGGGAATGCGGAGCTTAAAAGACGTATATTTTGAAGGGAAGATATATCTCAGATAAAGGACCTTGGGGTATTAGTGTGAGTGTTTTTCGATTGACGTGTCAGAGTAAGAGGAAGAGAATCGCAAAGCGAGTCCCGCTATAGAGCCATTTCTAAGAATTTAAGTGGAGGGAGAGAGGGAAGGAGGCCGTGTAAACCATAGAGGGATCCCACGAGTTAATGGGGAGAGGTCCTTGCTTGATGTAGCCTGGGCACGGTGGCGGCCCAGTCGGCAGACCTTTATTAATCGAGTGATTAACCATGACGGTAGATAGTATAAGTATAATCCTTATCGGTGTTCCCTTGGGGTTGTGGATAGAACGGTATGCGCAAGTCGGGGGCTTGGACGTCCTCGCTGGTGAGCATTTTGTAAATATAACTGTTTTTGAGGACTTTTGTTTTCCGTCTTCCTCCTACCTCGGGGGCATCATGACAAAACTTCCGAGGGTTCTGGTGGGTGGATGTGAGGGGCGGGGGGAGGAATGATTAGCTCTTATAATACTTGTTCTTTATATGTTAAGGCCTCACCAGCTTGAGACATGAGTTTATAGGATATATGTTTGCGAGATGGTTATTTGGTGGTAGAAAGGTAAAGTATTGCTGGCTCTGGAAGTTCAGGTGTGGTGGCTGAACCCACATCATGGTAAGGTGCATAAGTAGGAGTCATGGTATCGTACTTCGCTGCACAGTGTGTGGTACCGATACCAACACGACTCGGGGAGACGCAATCTAGGGTTGCCGGCCTAAGACGGGCGGTGGGGCCTCTCT